GCAAAGACTGAGTTTCACAACTCTTAATTTTGTTTATCTTGGTGGAAACACGATGCTTCACGGTATGAAACAGATGTTTGGAGGACAGGTGGGAGGAGGGCCATAGTGATTTTGTCTCCTAGTCTAATATTTATTAGATAGTCGAGATGGAACATCAAAGATCACTAGATCCTTGCAGCCATTTCTTATACTGAAGTGGAAATGACAGAGCATTTTTTTCACGGATTTAGTTGAGGGATTGCTGAATTTACACAAGGGTCAGAATTCTAGTTGGAATATTGGTTGAATGCTAAATTAATTCAGCTCCATTTTTGTCTATTTTAAACTGGAAGATATCTGTTCATACGAATAGAACGGATCACGAGACGGCTTAAGTGGATAGAAGTGGTGATTCACACTTTGCATTAAGGTTTGCCTAGTGGAAGGGAATATGGAAGTGAACGCTCTCAACAACCGATATGATATTTAAATCTTTCGGTTAGTTATTGAGTTAGTAGTTGAAGTTTTTAGCTTGTGTAATAATAACACTTGCTATTACCAAGGAAATTAAGGAGGTCAACTTTAAATATCGAAGCTGACCTTAGTAGAGGTGTTACCTTACTCAGATAGAGTTAAAGGTACTAGAGGAGGATTAGTAGGTTCTGTGAATGATGTCGGAGTAACTAAGATGTAAAATTTGTAAATTTCTCATGGTGTACTCAGATGGTTATATGTTACATCGAGACATCTAATGTTAGTTTTGGTGCGCCGGTACGAATAGGGACATATATAAAACTATCTATAAGAGTAACACCTAGTAGAAAGGTGGAAAATTGATAATCGGATATCATTGGAGATTTTTGCCACTTCCTTTTTCAAATTGGGAGTCGGACTAATTAGGACTAGAAGGTCGGTAGAAATTATCGACATTGATTTGGAATTTTTATTCCGTATGGGATTAGAGTGATGGATTGAGTACGTTCGTTTATGAACATTAATTAGAGTCATTTTCACTTTGGAGTTTCATGTCAGTTGAACATTGCACTGATAATGGAGTATGTTATAGCATGTAGATATATGTTATTGTGGATAAAAGTGTTATTTTGAAGGAATTTTTCTGATGATATTGGAGCAATAACTTTGTTTCACATCTCTGGATGGGGGATTTGATCGAGACATTATATTTAATCATGGAGGATATGCTTGGGACATATATCCTAGGTTTTCATAGATAATTGGAAGTGTTTACTTCACTTTTCAGAGTTTGTCTATCATATAGTTGGCACAAGGAGGTTGGTGTGACAACGATTGAGGTTTTGTAAATTATAGTGCAGACCTCTCATTTGTTGGTTTTAAAGTAACGGTTGTATAATCAAACCTTGACTTCATTTAAGGATACGTCGGAGAGAAATACTCTCATTTGTAATGAATTGCGCGCGGTTTGGCGGTGGCAGTAGAATTTTGTAAATAATTGAACCCGTCCACTAGAGTTTTCTATTAGGAAACGGTTGTTTGGAATGTCTTCTATATAGGAAGCAATGTGCATTTTGGAGAAAGGTCTGTTTTTACGTATTAAATTGACTTTTCACGAATTGTATTTATCAATTGAGGCGGTAGCTTATAGATTAGCGTTACCAAAACATTAGCGTTGGGGTGCATAGAAATTTTGCAAATCTATGCTATAGAATTTGAAGGAATATAGATTTGTACCCTGGTATAAATTTTGGGTAAGGATGAGTTGTTACTAAATACAACCTACATGTCGTATATTTTTATATTTCTTACATATACGAACCATAAATTTTTTTATGAGGAGTTGGGATTCAGTGGAGCCCATACACAGAGGCAGCGTCCACGATGGACCGGAAATGAATTTCAAAGAAAAGAATTCAGAGTTTCGTGAATTCCAAGGACGGAATTCCTTTTGCTAGGGGGGAAGAATGTAATACCCTTAGTTTTCAAAAGGATATAATTGAAATTTAATTTTTATTAATTGTGCTTTTTTAGTTGCTTACGTGGCTATGTGTTTATGTGGCTTTATGTTATATGTTTAAATGAATTAATTGTTAAATTATAAGTGTGTGCTTAAGTGTTTTTTTAAAATTAATTGTTGTATGAGATTATTTGTTAAAAGATAATGTGTTGATTTAAATGTAATTTTAGTTGCTTGTTTAAATATGTGTTTTATTTTATTTTTAGTTTAAAAAGGAGGGATTTGGATTTGGATAGTAATAATGGACCAATAGTTAGGTATCATGGACTACTTAAATAGAGGTTGATTATGGATACAGATAATTACCTGTATATGATTGATTATATATATATACTTGGGTATACATATTTAAGAGGATAGAATATTATTATTATTATTTATTTATTTTGATGTTAATAATAGTAATATTATGTTAGTAGATTTTATATATATATATATTTGGTTTATATGTATATGTAATTATATTTTAATTTTCTTTTCTTTTCTTTTATGATTAGCCGACTTAGTATCGGGTTGGGATTAGGGTTGGTATAAAGCTATATATATATATATATATAGTGTTGTCTACCTTAGGGTTCATAAAACCCTATTCATGCCACCTTATAGACGAGAGTGGTAACAGAGAATTAAGAGAGAGAACAGTGAGGAGGGAAGAAAAACCGAGAGACAAAAGAGAGGGTTTAGGCCAAAGAATTAGGCCAGACCAAGGAGGAAGGTTGAGCGCTGTTCGAGGGTTAGAACAAGAGAAGAGGAGTCATTGATGGTAGTCACGATCGCCAAAAAAACTAGGAAGAAGGAGTTAAGGTTTTAATTCGAAACCTAGAGGCAAGTTCTATTTCTTGTTCTTTCCCTTAGACTTGTGTTCTGTGCATGCCTAGATAATCTCCAGGATTAATTAGACATTAAAATTGATCTATTAATCATGCTTGAATTGAATGGAATTAAATTGAACTGAATTGAATTAAAACTATTTTTATGGTTAATATATGCTTTTGAATTAATTCTTGATTTTCCATGAATGTAAACTTGTTTTGACTCATGTAAGTGATGCATGGTTACCTCTTATAATTAATTAGGACTGTCTGGGATTTAGAACAGAGGGTTAGGAACCTTAGCAAGGGCAAACAGAGAGTCAGAAAGTAGCCAGAGTTAGAGAAAACAGAGACTAGGAGGAGTGGAGGCGGCTCCATCCTTTAATGGAGGCGGCTCCATTGGAATGGATCCAACTCCACATAGCAAGGAAGCAGCTCCTTTGGGGGTGGAGCCGGCTCTACCTTGAATGGAGCCGGCTCCCCTTTTGTGAATACACCAGTAATTATATTTTGACGGATTTTTGGGTTTTCAAGGGCTCCAATATAATTCTAAACTTGTATGGATGGTTTTAAATGATTTAAATAAGCATGATAAAATCCCAAAACGATTAATCTATGCTAGGACCTTGAACAACATGAGATTTAAGATTAAATTGCATGTTGTTAAGGGCTTTGAAGGATTTAATTGCTAGTTATTATTTTAGCAGATTAAATGGATGGTTATGAAATTTCTTTTGGGTATTTCAGTATAATGTGCTCAGTTTATATTTCTGATTATCATTATATCGTTCTCTGGATTTTAATTGATGTTTTAATTTATCATTCATTGCATAAATTATTAGATTTGTGGATTATATGCATTGGTATTAAGGATGGATTAGATCAAAATGCTAATTCATACCTATTTATACATAACAGAATGGATTAACTAAAAGTTAAATCCTACATGGATTAATGTCAGGTCAACTAAAACAGTTGAATGACGTATTGGATGTTTGTTTTATGTTCTATATTAGGATGGATTATATTCGTATATATATGTCGTGTCAAGGCAACGAACAGTTGAATGGCACTACTTTGGTTTTGGATGGATTTTATATATATACTTATGAGCCATGTATGAGCTTGAGTCTCAGGATCATGGTTAGGGTGTGTATATCGCCTAGAATGGATAACTGGATATAGTAGACATTGTGTACCCTGGTAGGTCTAGGTATATATGCCCACTTTATGTGCGATTTGCATGTTACCTTTTATTTAGGTTGAGACAAACCTATGGACTAGTGAGCGTCCTATAGTGTATATTTATACATATATGGACTATTTAGCTATTGTTGAGTTATCTAGGATGTATCTGCATATCGGGTCTCTGCTTGGATTGTAGTAGAGTAGAACTTGTTTGTGGGCTTGACCCACCATTATTTTTCAGGTATTCATCAGGAGTAGGAATTGTTCGTGCTGAGTAGGGATCGTCTACTTCATTCTTCCAGATTGTCTACATAGAAGTTTCCTTTGTGATTTATGTATCTAGTTGTAGACCATTGATTGTTCAGTTTTGGTTTTCCAGAGGTCCACATATTATGGATTCCCGAGTTGTATTTAAATTAGAGGATTACTTGTATCAGAGGAATTTATTAATGGAAATTTAGTTTGAGGTTTTATTTCTCATTTTAGTTTCTGATTACCATTTTGGTTATTCTTATTTTTCATTTGTTATATTCTGTGTTCGATTATTGCCATTTGTTTTTTTGATATCCTCGGGTAATCGGGCGTGAGCCTGGCCAACCCGCATCTGGAAATCCTAGGGTATCATAATATATATAAATTATTATTCTTAACTCAAGGGTGTGAGTGTATTCTACCCCTTTTTAAGGTGTAGGGAATTTTTTAAAACAGATTGAAAGTTTATAAGTTTATGATCAAAATTTGAAAGTATAAGAGGTTTTATGATTTAAACCCTTAAAACTAAAGCATAAATACATCAACATCACGGGTCTATAAAGACCATGTTTTGGGTTCGGTGCATCCATCCATTTTACGCTATTTCAAGCCTTGGTTCATAGCATAACTCGCGAAAATACCAACCTTTACGCGTAAGCTACCTATGAGTTTGTTAGCACATAAAAAATGCTTCAATATTCTTTCTTCAATTAAGAAAAAAGTGTAACATAAGCTCAGTTGAGCCATACTACTAAGTCCCTACATCAATAAGAATATTTGGTTGAACATAACAATGTTATTAGGGAAAAAGTAGTTGTGTTTATATGAACTGACATTGACATCTTCAATATGAACATGGATTGAAAAAACCCGCGCCAGAAATTCAAATGGTGGCGGATGAGACTTACCAACTAGGTTAAAAGATAGAATCAAATTAAAATACAACAGCAGCCATAACCATGCCAAATCAAGAAAAGCTCAATTACCAATTACTCAGGTGGCCACCATGCTTATATATGCGTAACTGGGAAGAAGGGGGAAAAAAAAAAAAAAAAAGGGAGAGAAATGAGTATAAATTAACAGCAAAGCACATAAAGTGCCTTCCGCTTGAAGCATTGCTAGAAAGTTTGGACAAGGGATGGTGTCGAGTCCCATGGTATGTATAAACAACGCACTGGAACTGAACAGGTACAAATTTCGAGCATCTGGGAAGTGCAGACTGCAAGCTTTCCAGCGGTTAGATATCTACAAGGGGGAAACTGATCTGCAGCCACCCAGAAAGGATTCCATGGGAAAGAGTGATTGCAAATCCCATTAAAGATTCTCTAAGATACAATTGATTCAGCAAGGTGGGAGTCAGAGACTATGAACACATCTAATAACTCAATTACCACCCATCCTCCAAGGGCACACCAGTTAGACAACTTGCAGGAGTTAGCCACTGCCCATCCTCAAAGAACTGGAAAAAGAAAAAGAAAAAAGTTAAAAGACGTGAAATATCACATTGAAGAAAGATAGCGTGCATTGGATGAAAATGCAGGAGTATTTTCCATTTTTTTTTTCATTGGACAAAAATTCTGGTTGTTGCAATTTGATGCATGGAGTGAGAGAGGAAATTAATAGAGATATAATAGTCCCTTATTATTTTAAGTATGGCAAAATGAAATCAGCAAATACAATTACCTAGGGTGTGAGATAGCAAAAAGATGGACAGGATGCATAAGTTTCCAGGAATTAAATTTCGCACCCGCCCCCGGTGGGTGTGGGGAAGCAACTATTTTCATTTCCACTAATTTAAGATCTTAAAATCTTCAGCAATTTTATTTTGGGGAACGGAAGCTGCTTTCGACATCCGGAACAGAAAGAGCAGATACATTGTAGCAAAGTAAGTAAAAGATTTACTCATATATTTCCAAACATATATTTCCAAACATCAGAATTTTCTTAAATCGTCATTATTTAGTTTTAGCACTACCAATCACAACATGAGCAATCCAAGACCAGTAAAAAAAAAAAAAAAGAGGAAAATAAATGAAGATAATTATAGTCATGGTGTGTCTGCTACTGGTTGGCATACTATCTTCTGTGGGAATGCAGCCTCTATGTTATAATCCTGATGTGTTTTGGTGAGAAGGGTGACTAAAAGAATTCATGGAATGCTGATCTGGTATATGTGTTTGAGATACTGCAAAATCCTAGCTCTCGACATGCAGAGATATATCAATGTGGTGAATTGGCTACTGCTTGGGCTAATATTGCCTTGTGGGGATTCTACAGTAGTATTATCAATTATGTGCTGTTAAATTTTCCCTTCATAGCATAGGATGATGATGGGTAAGGTAGTTATATTGTTTTTGCCCCTTTCTGGATGAGTTAGATTTGGTGGTCTTGGGGCTAACATGATTCCGTGTATTGACCAAACGGTAAGCCCACTGTGATTTTGTGTTGGTTTTGCCTTTGTTTCAATGAAATTCTCACTTGCTGATCAAAAAATAAGATTGGAGTAGGAAAGACCAAATGGAGAGAGACTCTTGGTATCCTACATAGTACCTGACAAAAAAATACCCAACAAGTTTAAGGAGAAATTTCATAGGACGTTCATTAGGCCACCGGCTATCTTATATGGGCAAGCGTGTTGGGCATTAAAAAATAAACAGGAAAAGCGCATTCACGTAACTAAAATGAGGATGTTGAGGTGGATGATAGGATTGACTAGAAAAAATGAACTTACAAATCAACGTGTGGGAGAGATTAGGAATAACACCTATTAGTGACAAAATAAAAGAAAATGGACTTCCGTGAAATGGACACATTGAACGTAGACTCGGCGGTGCACCCATAAGAAAGGGAAAAATTAGCTTGCAAAAAAGGGAAAGACAGCAAGGCTGGCCAAAACTAGCATGGAATAAAGTACTTAAAAATGATTTCAAAAAATTAAATATTAGATGAGTCATGGTGTATAAATAATAATAGAATGAAAAAGACAATTCATGTGGCCAACCCCATTCTTTTGGGAAAAAGGCAAGGACGATGATACAAATCATAATGTACCATGATGCTTTTATTTTCACTAAAATTATCTATGTGATTCAGAAAAACAACTCAACATTACCAAAGTCATATAATAGTTGTAATTGGAAACTGCTACATTGCAAAGGAGCTGGTCCAGCAAACATTTGTACACAGGATTAAACAATCAAGTAAAACTTACCAAGCTTTAAGGGCACACCAGATTCTGGTGCACGCATCCCTACTGCCATGAAGATTGCTTGTACCTAAAGCCCTCAGAATTCCACCCTCCCTCAGGCTCTTTCCTCTTCAAAGCCGCAGCACCTGCCATCTGATACATCCTTGCCTGCTCCTCTGCTAGTACCTGTGAACTGGCAACAGAAAGTTGCCCTGATGCTAAAGGCAATGAATCAAATCTCCCTTCTACATCCATACTCGCAGGGCCTGCATTTAGGTCAAGACCCTGCCTACCCCATTTTCTATTGCTCTCACCACCAACATTATTGCTACCTTCTGGAAGGCTAACAACATAAGGCCTTTGGAACTGGGATGAGATTCCACCAACAGGTCCTAGTAGCTGTGAATTACCGGGAGGAAAACAAAGCCTCCCACCAGATGAGGAATCCATATATGTGGTTGATCCACCTGAGAAAGTGGCCGAGGGTGAAGTAAAACTGTTCCCAAAAGGGAAGACAGGATACTGGAAATGAGAAGATGGGAAGGGCATTGCATGAGAAGATGACAAAACAGAACCCCGATAAACATCAGGAGTAAATGGAGTCCCACCAATAGGGGGTCCCAACATTCTAGGTGGCCCACCAGTTGCAATAATAGGAACAGGCTGATCCCCCCTGTCAGGTAACATTGATGGAATTGTGACATCTGTATAGATGCTCCCGCGGGGAAACCATGAAGAAAAGTGTCCAGTTTCTGCATTCTTCATTCTAAGACCAGGGACAGGGGCCTGGGATTGCATGCTGCTCCTGCCATGCTGGTTGAATGATGATGGTTCAGAACTTCCTTCATCAAGCAGCGGACCATTGTTTAAATCAAAGTCCCTCCTTACCTCACAATTAGCATATCCACTTGAAGATGGGGACTTGACAAGCAAGAGCTGTGCTTCCACTCTATGACTGCTGCTAGTTGAATACTGTCCCATATCATTAGCTTCATCAATTTGATTCAAATCAAGATCAAGTCCTCCAGTGCTGCGTAGAGGGGCAGAACACATCAGATCATTTCGTGCCAAATCATAGTTATTTATATGGTCAGATGTAGAACCTGTCTCCTGAGCTGTGTTTCGAGAAGCCATGTCCTCAAGAACTCTTTCATCTGGCACATTCAGATCAATATCTAATGGAGGACGACCATGTTTGCTGGCAGTAGCATCACGAAGAGAGATGCTAGTTGTGCTCAGAGGCATCTCCAATACCTTCCTGGGCTCAGCAGGGCGAAATGCACTTGTGGCTGCAGACCCCTTCCATCCAAGTTCCCCTTTATTCCTCAATAGATCCTCTGGAGGAACAAAGGGGCCTTTTGCAGCAGCAGCCACAGTTATGGAAGAAGGAAGCCCACTGGATGATGAAGAAACAGGAAAAGGCAATGAGGTAATTAAATGAACAGGTGCTGAACACCCAGGGATTGCCAAGTTCATTGGCTCCCCATATTTTCCATCATCCGCAATGTCATTCAAATCAAATTTTGCCTTTGAATCCATATCTGATGTCCCTGCAGCAGGATCAGAAGTATCTTCCACGTTGGATCTGCATTCCTCTGTTTCATCTGCTTCAGCGCCAGTCAACTTAGATCCCATAGGCCTCATATGCTGCTCAGTTCCTAGGGCAGAAAGTGCAGGTGGCTCTTTGTGAGGAACTGTTCCACCGGAATGATGCTCAGCGACCTCTTTACTTTCAAAAGTTGACTCCATACACTCATTCTTTTGATCAGTTACAGCTGATTCCACACCAACTTTGCATTCAATAGTTGGAGAATCGCTGGTTTCATGATTGGTCTTTTCTTTTGCATTCTGATTAATGTGATTCCCGCTGTCCATTTCATCAGCTTTTCCTGTCTTGAATTCATTAATACTTCCTGGAGTCAGATCTTTACCAGAACCTGAATCAGCAGGACACAGCAGTTCCTTATCAGATTTTTCTACACGCCCTGGATGCATCAAAACTGGAGATTGCTTCTGTTCTGTATAGGAAACACTGTTCAACACTTTGTCCACATTTTTGTTGTCCTTGTTATTTTCTGAGAGTAATGATGAATCTCCAACAGTAGGCATCACAACTTCTACACTTGCAAGAACCTCATTCACCTTATTGGTAGACAAAGAACTGCTTCCCTTAAGTTTAGTGCCACTAACACTAACGCTAGTGATGGCTGCCTTTGTCTCATAAAGCTCTTTGCTTCCTTCACCATCCATTACCTTCTCAGTTGTGCTGGCAAGGGGCAGAGCAACAGAAGCAGCACCTTTCATTTCTTCAGGTTTTTCATTGGTCTCAGAGCACGGGACTGCAGAAGGTTTCAAATCCACAATGGAAAAATCAGAATGCACATTGTCTTCTCCTGCTGGTATCTCCCCGGGCAAGGAAGAGGTGGATTTTCCGTCTGCAGAGAAGTCAGCTAATGCAAGTTTAGATAGACGATGTAATCCATCTTCAGAGCATGAAGTGGCAGCAATAACACCCTGCTTCTCAACAATGCCAACAATAAACTGGCTTTGGTCTTGAGCACTGGCATCTACCCGTGATGATTTCGCTTTGACATCATCGCCTGTAGAAGAGTCATCAGCTATGGGGGTATTTCTGTGTGGAGAATCAGTTGGTGAAATAAAATCTGACTTGGACATTTCACTGGCAGCCACACTAGCAAGCAGATCCATTCCAACATCATCCGCAACTGACATGGATGCATCCGCTTCAGAATATTTGACACAACTTTCAATTAAAGCATTTATCGAGCTGAAAGAAGCCTCATGCAGTTTCCCTGACTTCAGTTCATTTCCCGATGATGAGGAAGCAACTTTTGAGACTTCTACTGGTTTCCTAATGTTATCACCAGCCATACATCGCTCTTCATTGGGAACAGCAGCAGGCGATCCATCACCTTCATCAGACCCAGTCAGTACATCTTTGAAATCATTGCTTTGCCATGACTCGGTATTCACATCAGAGGTAACATTAGCTCGATAAGTATCATTCATTTCCTTTGAATTGCGATCAAATTGATCATGCTTCTCAGAAAGCACAGGAGAAGAAGCTCTACTGTTCTTGATGGTTGGATCCTCAAAGGATCCCCCACTGGCACTTTGTGCTGGACTGCGACCCCGGTTTGGTATCTTAACAATCAGCTTGTGACTGCTGCCTTCCACAAAGGGCACATCAAGTGCCTTTTCACAAGTTAATGCAGACTGTGATGTTCTTTCTGAATTTCTGTGCAGAGAACTGTTTGATCCACTTTCCCTTGAAACTCCGGTGCCAGCGGGCACTGGGAAACCATTATTTGTTCTCCTATGTCGAGAACCACCACCTGAGGACTTGTTCACACTCATTGACCCTGCAGTAGAGTTTCTTGCGTCCTCCTTTCCCGAAAAAACTATAGTTTTGCCATGGTCACTTGAACAAGATTGACTGTTGTTGTGAGACTGACTAGAACTGCTGCTCTTCTCCTCCCTTGCCATTGTTGAAGGAAGATCAGAGGTACTGCCAGCTGCATACCTGGGTTGACCATCCTTACCTGACGGAGGTGATAGCGCTGATTTCGTTGTGCCAGGAGACGATGATGCAGACACAGCAGTAATTTCAACCTGTAAAGGCTTAACTGAAGCAGTTTTAGATGCAGCAGAGAGCTGTGTGACTGAGCTCTTCGTTGCAACCTCAGAAGACCCTCCAGGATGTCTGTTCCCACCATGAGGAACTTCAGGAATACGTGATCTGGAAGACCATGAAACTGCCTGAGTTGAACCAGACTTTGCCTCAATAATATTCATTTCAGCCTGGACACGTTTCTTCCATGTGTCAACTAAACTTCTTGCCTTCTTCTGGATTTCCAAATTTTTATGCGTACGTAAATTATTCACAGATTTGCCAATATTACACATTTGTAAGGCATGAAGATTAACAGGCAGCTTATCCAGTGCACGCAGTAAAACAAAAAGAAATTCTTCCACAGATTTATCACCGTCCTTGGGGCTACCACCATCACCAATTTTTCCTTTATGAACATCTTGGAGCCATTCATCTAATACAGGCAAACCTCTGAGCTGCACAAACCAAGTAAGGCAATCAAAATTTTCAGTAGATGCAATCACACCTACAAGCATTGATCTGCAAATTAATTCCATTTTCCTCTCTGCTCTATCAGGCTGCATGAGTTGAACCAGTTTCTCAACACCTTCAGAATCTACCAGCCCTCCTTTTTCTGTTATTTTAGCAATCTCTGATTTCAAAATGCTTTCTGGTTTTAACTGACCAGAATCAATGTCATCTGTTTTTGAAGCACGTTCTCGCTTTAGAGGTTCAGAGCTCTGTTCTGACCGCTCCCTCTTCTTTCCCTTGGCTTGAGAGGCAAAGGAAGTGGCACTCTGTACATCATCTGAATCAGATTTTAACTGTGATGTTGATGTTGGACCATTACTTGGTTTTGGAGAACGGCCACCAGGCTGCACTGTTGCATGCATTTCTATTCGTGTTTTATGTAACAGCTGATCTACTTCTTCCTGTCGCTCCTAGAGGAAGATAGAATATGAATACAAATTAGAAAAATTAAATAATATGGCAAAGTCATATTTTCCAGAAAGATAACATATGAACTCACCCCTTTCTAAAAGTAGTACTCCCTCCATCCCATTTTAAGTGTCCCTTTTTTGGGAGCCTAGCTTTTTAAGATATGGCTTTTAATATATATTTTTTTATTATAGTAGTAGTGAATGAATTACCAAATCTAGGTCCACAGTGATGTGATGATGTTTTCCATTTAATCGTTTTTATAAATTCAATGCAATAAGGGTAAATTGGGAATGTTGTAAAATATCGTACATTTTTTTTTTCTTTTCTTAGTTGGTACTCACACGCGCGCATGCCTCCACTGAGGCTCGAACCCCTAATCTCCCTTTGAGAAGTAGGGGCCTGGTATCGCTAGACCACTGGCCTTTTGAATATCGTACATTGACTTTTGAATTGGGACAATTATTTTGGGTCAACTAAATATAGAAAGGTAGACACTTATTTGGGATGGAGGGAGTAACAAAAGTGAAATGCAAGATGATAATCCAAAACTCACATTAATGTAATCTTGATCAGTTAGCCACCATAAACACTTGTTTGCAATGTCATAAACTCGCCTGCAAACAAATGAGGATGTCCCTGAAGGAAGTTCAGCACCTTTAGGAAGGAATGCAACTTTGCACGGATGGAGTAGCGATGCAGCAGGAATCTCATCCTTATGAAAGGAATAGAAGACTTCGTTTGGCGCGGCTTCCAGCAGGATGCCTTTGCCAAGCTTCACTTCAGCGGGTCGATAAAGCCAATTCACACGTAATTGTAGATTGTTTTCTTTATTTAATGTCAGCCAACGAATTATTCCAATGAATGGTGGGGAGTCCTGGGGCGGTTTAAAAAGAGCACAGTCACCAACTCTAATTTTGCGTCCACCCTACAAAACAACGAAAAACTTCAGCTTACCATGAAATGGGTAAACCAGACAAAGATGTAAAACATAAACTGAACCTCAATAAAATAGCTTGCAAATATTAATACAGCAAATTAAGTTGCAAATAAAAGATTAATGAACAATATACAAACTAAATATAATCATCATCGTCATAGAAAAACTAAAATAATGACATTGACTGTTAGATCAACACTGTTTTCAATTAAATCTCATATACTAGGGAGTATCTGATAGTCAATAATGGAATCAACAGGTCTTTCTTATTGCAAACATAACCTGCAATAAACTATCTGAGAATTCCTAAACCAAACTGGAATATTGGTATAGCTTAAACTGGAACCATGTCTTACAACCCCACTTTATTTAACAAGTTAGGAGTGCTCACAATCCCATACTGATTACTCAATTGCAGGCAGCAGCTACAAGAAGTCAAGAACAGAGAAGTAAATTCTTCATAATTTAGTACTCTGAAACTCTGACTGTTTTCAAATAAATAGCTAAACAATATGAGTTTGAGAAACCAAATTTTAGAGTAATACATAACTTCCCAAAATAACCATGTTGCTACTAAAAAATAAAATGAAAGCCAAATGGCAAGCTCAAACAACTTCATTGTAGTTCAGTATCCATAACCACCACTACCTACCCAATAGTCCACGGAGATGGAATCACTGTTGGAGAAGGATTGAAGGTAGAAAATGAGGTAAGGAACATGTGCTTAGCATGTAACACATGTAATATATGAACATACAAGAAAAGACCATAATGAATACTGGTCCGCCTATGCAAGGTCAAGGTGCTAGGAGGGGAAGTTGGTAACACATCTAATATTTGACATTATTTTGCACAACACGATTACTCTCATACTCAACTCGCAACTTCACACTTGTTCGAGCTTTTACAATTACACCAAGCAATGAGATATACAATCCATTAAAAAACATATATTACATTTCAAGGTGCATAAGGAAGTTGACCAGTTTTTCCAACTAAACATTCGAATCAATTCACATGCAGTTGTTCTATATTGTTAACCTGGTTCTTTTCATAATTATAGGTATTGGCCCCAAACTGAATCCTGACAAGTCAAGCTTAAATTAATTGACTTCACCTCACTAAGAACAAGACTAGCAGTCCAATTGACACAACAAAATAGAACTAAGACCTCATCATGTCCAAAGAAATTGTAAATTTTAAGCTCCTGCATGATTGATTGTATATACAATATGGCAATCCATTACTTTAACTAAAATCTTCAATAGCCAGTTCCTCAAAGAATACATCAAGATGTATCAAGCAGTTTAGAATATAAAAGGTGAGAAGCATTTCACAGCCAATCCCTAGGCATACAATGGAATTACAATCTAGTTAAATTAAAATGAAAAGTATATGCTCAATGTCAAACATGGCTTATGTGTTACCAATAACTATAACAAATCCACTACATTATCAAACAACCTGTGCTTCTACATCAAGAAAATCTTCCATGTTGATCATAATGATTATCAAATAACTTAATAATTTTTTACTTAAGAAAGTTAGAAACTAACAGCAATACATAAGTGAAGATGCAAAAGATGAAAATTACTGGCTTGCTAGTTGCATATAATTAATTACAGAAGTAAATTATCTATTCATAAATAATAAACTTCATGTGATAATATTGACCAACTTTCCTACCAAAAAGGACCAACCAACCTGTTATTCCACCGTATTCTCATTTGAAAATTGAAGCAACAATTTCAGGAAAATTTATGGGGATATTAGGTTCAGAAATGAGTACTAAAACAAAGAATCCACACAAGCTGCCACAAAGATATGAGAATTTGCACTTCTTCCTCACCCTATTTTCACTATAATGCCTAGAAGCTAGCAAATTTCTATACTATTATAAGAAGCCATGGTCCTTTATACGAACTTTTTTCTATGGATTATATGTTTAGACTAGATTCTCATATAAAGTACTTTATGCCAACACTAACAGCTCATGATTCTTAAGGTGGTAATAACACTTAAGTGACAATTTCAGGAAAATCTATGGGGGTAAAAGGTGTTAAGAGAATATTTTTGTTTCTTTTTTTGTTCTTATGGGTAATTTAGTCTTTTACCTTTTATATAGGTAGTTTAGTATGGTTAGGGCATATAAATATCCTTGTACTGTTGTAATTTGTATTCTTAAGATTGAATAACAGAGGAGCTAGTGATAGCAAAACCTTCAAGTCTTATCATTTTGTTCCCGAACAATGATCATTCATTACAGCTTCTGGTCGTGCCATTACCAATCACGGGTAACCCTCGGTCCAACCGCCCAACCTAACATAATAAGAACGATTATCCTTATGACTAAACAAGGACCAACAAGGACCAGCTTACTTACTTCCTTGAGCAATAGTTCCACGCTCACAACCAGCAACTTGTTGGGAGTAGGGGCATCAAAGCTTGCTCTGTTGATACACAACCAGGCTTAATAATAATAAGCTAAGGGGGTGTACAAGACAGATTATTATATTATCTGGGGGCTGGGAATCGCAAGAATTGAGAAGTCCTCCATTGAATTGAATGTGGTGGGAAAGACAAGTTCGGATAGCTGTGGATTAGCAGGAGGAAGGGCGAGCTTCTCTGTTATTACAAGAACAAAGAATCCAAACAAGCTGTCACAACGACATGACCACACTTCTCGCCTTGTTTTCATTTATCAAACTAGAGACTGCCTAGTAAGTGACCATCATCTCAACTATTATATAAAGCCAGGATCCTTTTTGTTAGAATATTTATATACGTATCTTTAATGGGTACTTTAGTCTTTTGGGTAGTTTAGTTACTTTAGGCATTTACCTTTTATATGGGTACTTTAGCCTTTTACCTTTTGTTAGGGCATATAAATAAGCTAAGCTAGTACTGTTATAACTTTTAGAATATACGACTGAATAATATTACAATCAATTTCTTTCAAGTTTTCACTTTTTACTTACTTTTTTCTATAACTATAAGAATTGACTATGATCCATATTGTGTTACATAAACTTCCCAATTCCCCTTAACATACCTGTGTTGACACAACATGGATATGGGTATGAGATATGTGCCCAACACAAGTACCCAAATAAGACACCTGATCCTATAATTGTGATGACTAAACAGGAGAAGCTCAAATTTGAAAGCAAAGAAGATTTCCCTGCTTATGAAATAAGTGAAAACCCCCCATTTTCACCATGTTCCATTTAATTCAAATTATTATTATTATTTTTTTTTATAAGTAAAAATGTATTAGAAAGCGTTCAAAAGGGGAACGTGTCCCAAGAGCTGTACAAAAACCAAAAAAGAGAAAGGGGAGTCCTATGGACCCAAAGAACCCAAAAAGTCCACGATTTCATCTAAAGATATAAAATTTCTCCCCATAACCCAACTAAAAAGAGTACAAATAATAGAAAACATCAACGCCCCAATGGAGAATTCCTCTCTATCAAAAGATCTTATATTCCGCTCTTTCCAAAGGCTACACCAAACACAAAGGGGGGTCACCCTCCAATAATAGCGAACATGAGCCCCCACCCTTTGGCCCCTCCAAATGTCAATCAAATCCGTCCGGGGCATAACCCACTAGACGCTAAATAGACCCAAAATAAGACTCCAGCAATCATGAGTCACAGGACAATGCAAAAGAAGGTGATCCACGGACTCTCCATCATTCTTGCACAGACAACACTGGTTGACTATGATTTGTCTTCTCTTTCTCAAATTGTCCAGAGTCAAGATCCTACCCCAAGTTGCAGTCCAAACAAAAAAGGTGACCCTAAGAGGAGCCTTCGAATGCCAAACCGTTTTCCACGGGAAATTGGTACCGTGAACCCGAAGAGGCTAAGAAAGAAGGACCGGACTTGAAAAGTCCCCTGCGAAGAAGGCAACCAAGTCAAAGAATCCGAACCAGTACCACCTACCTCCTGTCCATACAAAAGGGCCAGCAAGCCAGTGACGTCATCCAACTCCCAATCCTGAAAGGATTGCCGAAACCGCACATCCCAAGACAACCTACCGTTATCGAGTCAGCAGTCAGCAACCAAAGCATATCTATCAACAGCAATCCTGAACAACCTTGCGAACAAACAAGACAATGGACGATCCTCACACCAAGTATCCTTCCAAAACCGGACGTCCCTTCCTTGCTGAACTTTGAATCTAATATGCATAGAGAACTCATCCCAACCCTTCCCAATGAATTTCCACACCCCCACGCCGACAGCAGAACTAACTAGCCTAGATGACCAAACACCCCCCCCCCCCCCCCCCCCCTCCGCAAAACGACATGAAACAACCTTCCTCCATAACCTATGTCTTTCACTGCCGAATCTCCATAACCACTTGCCTAGGAGCGCTCTGTTGAAAGGGGCCAATCTCCTAATCCCTAGACCTCCCGACTTAAAGGGCTTGCAAACCTACTCCCACCGGACAAGATGAAATTTAAAGTTTTAAACTCCTCCCCCCGTCCGCCCCATAAGAAGTTCCGTTGAAGCATCTCAAAGTCTTCCAACAATAGAGGAGGGAATCTGGAAAAGCGAAAGAAAATAAGTCAGAAGACTGGACAATGTACTCTTCACTAAAGTAACTTTTCCTCCCTTCTATAAATATTGCTTTTTCCACCCAGCCAACCTTATCTCAAAACGCTCAATCACCGGGTCCCAACTTCCCACCCTCCTTGACGAGTCACCCAACGCCAAGCCCCAGTAAGAAATAGGGAAGGAGCTCGTCCCACACCCTAAAACCGCTGCAAGAGAATCCACCTCCTGAACCTCCCCCCACAGGGACAAGCACTCTCTTGCCCATCCCAATGTAATTCTCCCATTCCGGCACTTCCAACCTTTAATGGGGACATAGATTTAATGGATTGTCCCCTTTTAAATTTCTACATTACCCTTCGAAGCTTAAATATTTATATTGTCAAAGTTAGGGAAGTTTTCAAAACTTAAAGAATATTTTTGAAAAGA